TCCTCCCTGCATCCTCCCTGCATCCTCCCTGCATCCTCCCTGCATCCTCCCTGCATCCTCCCTGCATCCTCCCTGCACTGCCCTGCATCCTCCCTGCATCCTCTTCTCATCTTATTGCTGTTGTCCAAACTGTGCCATGTGTGTCATCACTCTTACATCACCTCAACCTCTCCCCCCCACACACACACCTCCCCCATGCCTCCACTTCAACCAATCAACCCACAAAAAGTTGAAGATTTAATCCCCAACCGTGCAGAGAAGACACACACGGACCTGCATGAGGAGCTGATGAAACGTGTCAACCAGGGCCCTCCCAGGAACTTCAACGTTCGACGCAGCACAGGAGCCAGTGTCAATATCAACTATGTGTCCTCTGCAGACGATGTCACTAAGTGGCTACAAAGCAAAGGCTTCAGCAAACTGTGAGTACTAACAGGTAGAAATGTAGCTACATGTAATCTATAGATGATGACGTCCTTCAAAATATGTAATACACCTGCCCAAATCTTCCAAACTCAACCACTGTGCAAAAGTCAATAGGCGCATTCTGGTATTTTTGATTTCAATGTAGCCAAGCACGAGTCAATTGACTTTAATTGGTGTCAATTACTGGTCAAAGTCATAGGTCAGGTCACTTGTTCAAGTATTAAGGTAAGACGGAATGTACAGTGATAAAGGAATACTTTTGTCAGGATTTATTTCATCACTGCCCTTAAAATGGAAAACCGCATATTGAAGTATTGGTTTGTATTTTGATTTAAAAATTTTGTTACTTGAGAAATCTGGTTGGGTTGTGATGACTTACTTGCAAGTTGCATATTAATAAGGAATAAATATGTGCTTGGCCAGTCTTAAACATGCATTTAAGACTGGCTCATAAGAATGGACGCATCTAATGCCCAAGCCGCAGGTGAGGGCGTTATCGGCAAACAGTCTCCTGAGCCCGTCTTGAACGTTAGTTTAAGACCTTCCAAGCACATGTTTATTCTCATTCTTTAAAACTTTTTCAGTAAGTCAAAAGAAGTCAATCTATGATGGATTTCTAATGATTTTGTTCTCGGATTTTACTTTCATTTCCTGAACATCCCCATCCATTTTATGGCATATTCCAAGTGCAAATTGTCCAAAAGAATCTCCTTATATGGACTTAGGTGCATGTTTAGTGAGCCATGTGCTCACAGACTCTTGACCAATCAGAATCAATTAAACTGTCGCATATCCAGGTGCTAGCGCGTGATTTACGCAGCGGACATTTATCACTTCTCAGCAGGCATTTTTAAATGAGAATACTTGGTCAAGTTGCATGTTTTTGAATAGGGAGACTGTCTGAGGTGCTAATGAATGACATTTATTGTTGGCCCTGATTGTAACATTATTATTAATTGCTTGATAGGACTGTGGACAGTTTGGGGGTACTGACAGGTGCTCAGTTGTTTAGTTTGACCAAGGAGGAGTTACGTCAGGTGTGCTTTGATGATGCCAATCGTGTCTACAGCCAGCTGATGGTGCAGAAATCAGGCCTAGAGGTGAGTTGTTCATCTGACCCAGTCCCTTAACAATATGGGAAAAATTGTGGTTGGTATTAACTAGACAATCATTTTGTATTTTTCAAACAAAAGGGCTTGTGTCCACCAGATCTAGGTTTGTGTTTGCTATGAAAATAATGGTACAGTTGAGTATGTTAGGCTGTGTCTGAAACGAGCTTTCAGAGCTACGGCTAGGTCTATTGTCTATGTGTCTCCACACATTTCCAACGGAATGAAGACCTAGACCTAGCGCTAGACAACCGATTCGGATGCAGCCATAGAATCCTTGATACGTGTGATTTTACAAGTCTGTAAAGAGATCTGGAAAAATAAAAATTATCTTGGAAAACTCTGCAAAACAGTTTGAAAACTCTTGGTAGGATTCTTGATTTGTAAGTGACTAACATGCACACAACTAACAGTGAAAGATGGAGACTGAATTCAATTCCATTTTGTAAACCTACGAATATTTCAGTAAACCCTCCAAGATTTAAGATCATTACAATGCTAGTGATCAAAAGATACATGAATGGTACTGTATTATATAGTCAGTGTTATTGTGTACTGGGTACACAATGTTAGGATGTGCTACTTTATTGGGTGAGCATGGTACTCCGAGGAAACAGCTGGAATGGTGATTGGTGAGGTCTTATATTAACATCATTAACCCTAACACTCAAGGTTGAGTACAAGAGGCAAGTTTTAGGTTGTTTGGGTTAATTCCTACCGTTGTAGAATAGCTTTGTTGTTATTGTCATTAAGAGATGCTGTTCTCTGTGTTGTTGTAGGACCAATCCAACACATCCTCTGAACTCAAGGCTATTATGCATCGAAGGAAAGTTCAGTCAGACTCTGATAATTCCAACGAGCAGGAAAACTCACCGTTCAACTCGCCCCCACCTGATTTCAGTCCTGCTGCCCCACCTGGTACCTAGGCTTGGTCATTCTCAGTTGGGCATTGATTCACAGTCAGGCAGTATTGAGACTACCCTGCTAACAGCTTATTACTAGGGTATTCATTGTTATATGTAATATCCAACTAGTTCCATGGGGCACCAACACTGCCTGACTGTGAACAAATGTAATTCATTGTCCTTCCATTATATTGCTGTTATTTGTCTGGTCTTGTTTGTTTACTCTCACCAGAGGTAGTTTTCCATTTATGTGTTTATGAAGAAGGTTTTTGTTAGCACTAATAATGTACATAATAACATACTGACCAGTCATGGACATATAATTGCTTTTGGCTAAAAACATATACTTATAGAAACCCACATTGTGTGACATGTTGAATTCATTTGTCATTCTTAATCCCCTTTTCCTGAATCACAAACTACGTGTTCAATATTAAAAATCCTAAAACCATTATTCAGCAATAAATTCAGTGTGTGTTAACTGAATCATCCAAAAGAGTTGTAGTAACACTGATTAGTCACTTTTCTCATGTCAGACTATTTTTTAAAATTAGTTGGTGGGTATTAATTGGAATAATCTGAACTGGTTATTTATGATACTCTATTATGTGCTGAGTGTGAAATACACCATGTCCATAGAGTATAAAAGGAAAGGCCCTTATATTCTTAACCATTTTTGGAATGTAGAGGTCTGATATTTGAATTCAGCAAAAGGCTTATTGGTCTTTTGAAGTTTTTCATTGTTGTTTAGTTCCCATAGCAATAACTTTGTTGTATTCAAACCAAGCCTATCTGTCAAGCAACAGTTAAAAAAGCTTTCCTTTTCTTCCCTGCTTGCTTTGCAGCAGTCCACATTTGTTGTTTCTTGCGCCAAGCAAAGCTTGATTGCTTTCAAAGTAGTAGCTGCTGACACACAATCTAAAGACTTGTATGTTTTCATCTATTGGATGTGCCTTAGTAAATTGAATAAGTTTAAGCAACCTGAAATCTTTTTTAAGAAGTCACAAAAGCAAGTGGGCAGGGCCAGAATTTTTGTCTTGAATAGTTGTTATTTCTGGGGCTTGGATATTCACATCTCTTTGGCTGCTGTTTTTGTTATTGCTTTGCATGATTTTCATAATCACGCTATTTTTTTTTTTTACCCTTCCTTAACCCTCCCCTACCCAACCTTAAAACCCCAACAGACTCGTCAGTCTTTTGGTAGGTACACTACTCCACAAGTGGGCACTTCCAGTGGGGGCTTGTCTACAGACATCCTTTACTGATTTGCTGATTTGCATGCAGCTAGTTTTCGTCATGCTTTGCTCTTTGGAATGAAAATGGCTACCATCCATGCAGATAAATAATATGCATTCTCAATTGATTTAAAAGTGATCATGCCATTTGCATGCTGCTATAGTCACCCATTTAAGTGTTGATAACTGTGATTAAGTTGTTATATAGGGGTGGTTTTATTCTGGTAAAGGGCTTTAATGTACACCTTTGTATTCAGTTAGCAACAGGCCAGATTTTGTACTAAACTGTTCATAACAAGAGAAGAATGCTTGAAACTGTATCTTTTTCTTTGTTTTTTAAGCCACAATGTAGCATTCATGTTATTTAGTTTGTTTTGGTTTCTGTGTGTCCATGTATGTTCATCCTGTTATCAGATTTTGTATTCATGCATGGCATGTGGTGACATCCTACCAGTATGTTGAACGTTGACATTTAAGAGTAAATTTTAGAACGCAACTTAGAACACTGCAAGTCCACTTTCATTGGAAATGTCACTTCTTGCAGCTAAACTTTACTTGTGGAGCAATTTGTCAAAATTCAATGCATGATATTTAAACTGCCTCCTCCACCATCCCTTTGGAACTTAGGTCTTTTATGATAACACAAAAACACCGTTGTGAAGAATTCAGTTGTAAAACCAGGCCTACCAAATGTACTTGAATTCAGTACTGCAGAATTGATGATACTGTTTTCAAAATTACATCATCGAGTATTACATTGTACTTTGAAGATTTATCCCCTACTTCCTAGTATTTGGTAAAATCCTGTTCATGTGTACATGTACAAATAATTGAGTAGAATGGTGCAGGCAAAACATGGGTATATAAAGAAATTTAGTCTAACCTATATATTTGACAATAAATGAATATGTGTATTTTTATTTACATCTCTTTTTCCCAAAATGAGTATCAGTAAGACTTACCGTTCATTTTTTTTCTAAAGTATTTTTCAATATTTATGAGTAATCGTTTTTTAAACAGTTGTGACAAAAGTTGGGAAAAAGTGTTTTTCAATATGAAGAATCATGCAAATGACCATTGAAACAGATTTTGTAAATACTCAAAAATAGGTCCTCTTGCGGCATATATGTTCATAAAATCGTACATATTCATTTACATGCAAATTATTGTCAAGTATTATGCATGTCATTGACATTTACAGATATTATTTTTATGTTAATGTAACCTTTCTAATAGCGCATGTATCATTGGGTAGTCATTGCAGTTGGGTCTTTTGTAGGGCAAAATTGACAGCTTGCTACACTACTAACCTCGATTTGTTTCTGTAGGCACCTTACAATAGACATGTATATTTGGTGCACATACATGTAATGTACACTTTTTTTTTCCTATTCAACATAACCACATGTTAATTTTGTTTATACGTTCATTTGCATCTTCATTGGAGAGTTAATGTTAATGCTGAAAACTTCATTAGTAGCATGCGTTCCTTGCCCTTGGTTTAAGTCCTCATTTCTATTTTGAAGAGGACACAACTGGGGTTGCTTTCCAGTGGTACAGACATTGGATTGGAACGGATTGTCAAGACTTCTGCTTCAGGCAAATACTGCCTTGTGGTTCATGCAGATAAACACAGAACAGTAATTTTCCAAAGCTCTTTTAGCCAACTGTAAGAAAGCAGTGGTCTCAATTGTGTGTATTCTTAACTTTTGACTATGTTCACAAAGAAAGTGAGTGGTGAATGACATTAATTACATTAGCCTGGTTTCAGTCCAAGTAGTCTGTGAGACTTACTGACAAGCTAAAACACATCATCCTTACCTCGGCTTCTGTAACCTTTTACCTGTTCCTGTGACCAGCAAGGAGTTGTTATTCATCAGTGAAATTTAAGCGACATTGGACAAGAAGAGGAGTTAATTAGGGAATACTCATTAGCATAAGTGCCTGTTAATTATATGTAAATATTCATAAGCTATATATTGATTGAGGTTAGACTGGATACTGTCATATAGTTTCACACTACAATGCATTAAAAGATCTAAAATGAAGTAGCCATTAATGACTACATCTTGTATGAACCAGTGTAGGAAGTATATAACGAAGGGCATGGTCATGCTGTGGTCAAGTTCATTATCATGTAGGCCTAATGTTATGAAAGACTGTAATCTGACATTTTGTACTTCTGCACACTGGAACTAACTTAAGGTGCCAGCTAACGAATAGTATGTGCATACGTCCTTACTTTATTGTTTTAGTGCGAGAAAGCTTTCCATTGAAAGTCACTATTTGTAATCAACATTTTGGTGTAGAAAATTGGAATACTTATGCCGAAATATATTAGATACATGTATGTGATTCTTGCTATAAAATTATGATTGCACTGTACTAATCTATGCATTTTTATTTTTTGGAAAAGAATTTTAAAATAAATTATATAATATTTGTGTATAAAATGAAAAATGGTAGTGTTGAATTGTTATTTTTGTAATAATTGTTGACATCATGCTAAGTCAACACTGTAAGAAAGTCGGAAGTCTTGGGTACATGTAGGTGTCTCACAGTGGCTCAAGTTTCATGGCGCTGCTGGCAAAAATTGCTTGGCAAATTCCTGCATTGAGTGAACACCAGCTGAAAGCCAGCCACAGGAGACTTGCATGTGCACTGACCCATAATATGTTGTTACTTGGCAAATATTTCCATTCCATAAGTACTAGCTGTGCTTACTGCTTAGTTGCTCCATGGCATTGGCTCCTGACATCAATTAGTGAAGCTGCCATGCAGACAACATTGCTCAGCCAGTCACAGGGAATATTTGACATTCTATAGACTGTGTAACCTTTGACCTTTAATTGGCTGTAACATTTGACATTCTCAAAGCAAGACTAGTCAATGCTTATCTATTTTGTTGGCCTAGTTGTTCCATGAAGTTAGCTGCCAATTTGTGGAAAGACTTTACAAGTGAGACTAAATGAGTGATTGGGAGGCAAACTCTGTTGGCGTTACCTCTCTCGTTTACACTGAGAGGTTTTTTCAAAGCAGGTGTGCGTTACCAGTCCCAAAATAATCCACTGAAGATGAGAGCAAAATTTTTAAAATAAACATTGTCATTTGCATATGTTAGCCTTTCTCAGTGTACAAACAAGGATTTTAATTACTATATTGTGTATTCCTGATGACCAGCCTTTCCTTACTCTCCATGCTTGTCATTGTTTGGGTCTGATGTTCAGACAGTAATTCAAATTCTGCTGTAAAGTGAATGAGATTGAAGGAAAGCAAATCAGTAGAGAGTGAAGTCTACAGCCACACTGTGTTTGGATTGTATTGTAAACTGGGGGCAAACTCTGTAATGCACATCTTGTAGCGTAGCTTAAATACAATTACCCTTTGACCTCATTCTGAATATTAAGAACTATACATGTATGTTGAAAGGGGTGATGGTATTAAAATAAATGGTGTATTCTCTTCTGAATATCTGACCTGTTTTAATCAATACATTTTTATATTTTTAGCTCATTATTCAATCATCAGTATAACAGTGTATTCCAGGTGTCAATAAAGAAATAGTGTTTATAAACAATTGACATTAAAGTTTGAATTAATATTTTTAGCTGTTTACATTGTCATTGTTTTTTAATGACGGTTTTACAAATGTCTGACCAAAACAATTGTAGTTTTGCACTGAACATAATCCATCGCAAAGTCCATGATGCATCAGTACTGTATTTTGTGTTTCAAATTCCTACCTCTGTAAATGAAAGCTCTTGTATAATTGAATTCAGCCAGGCAGGATTTTTATGCTTTGCGGCAAATACCTTCCAAAGATCTACCCATTCACTGCCAACAATACCGGTACTTCAACTACATAACATTCAGACAAGACAAAAACTGTGTTTCAACTGCATTTAATTCATTATTTACATTTTACAAACTTGAAAATATTAAATTACTTAAAAAGAGCTTGTTCTTAAATTACAACAAACATCTTAAGATCTGCTTGTACGTTTGGAGGACTGGCGCTAGCTGTACCATTCAGCTAACCTAATTACAAGGCCTAGACAACACTTGTTTATAGAGACATCAAAAGATTTCTACAGGATGAGCTTTGAAAAATTGGAACAGTTACAAAAACTGTTTACAATTTGGCTATGAACAAAAATGTATTTGAAGATGAACGGATTCAAAGACATATGACCACATTTCCTGAAGGGACCCCAGGCGCTGTTTTCAACAAACCCTCTACATGTATAGGAAATCTCCATGCCCCAAGAGTCCAGCACAGGAATATTCTTGGCTGTGTAATATGTTGGAGGTTCTGTGCATGTTCAGTTGCTGATGTACTGCATCTTGTTAGTGCTACTTGTCAGAGTCTCACTAAACTACTCTGTCTCATGTATAAACATTTACTCTAACCATGCCAAGATCCTATGTAATTGAGACTAAACCTCAAGGCTGGCCAACAAAAACAGTCATAAGGCCATACAATTCAAAGGGATGTTTGGTGTGGATGGTCTGCACCTGTACACAAATGTGACCCACCGTCCCCAAACCAGGTTGAAGTCCGTATTTGTGATGTTGGACAATTCTGCTCCTTCAGCTTTTTCTACACTTTAAGTGATCCACGTCAAATCGAAATTATGTCTGTAGTGAGCTTCTTACGGGCAGTAATAGCTGTAAAACTCCCATGAAGATCTGTTCCACTATTTTAGGGTTATGAAGTTACCTACTTCAGCCTGGTTTGGGGATGGCGGGTCACAAATTGAGGCAATTGATCACTACTCACTGATGGGACAACTGCAAAATGGCCAGAGCATTTGTGGCCACATTCGTGAAAATGTTGTAGGCTTAAACATGTTAAACGTGGATGAATTGGGATAAAGCATTCGTGCTTGAACAAGCAAAGGCATTTTGTTAGCCAGCAGCAACATCCCTAGGGCCAGTGCACAATGTGTGTTTGTGTGAAGTTGTCTCCACATTTATGCACATAGCATACAGTAGTAACCAAAGCTGATGTTATGCCAGATGCATGTTTCCCCAAATATATCTTCAAGGAGTGTGTTAAACTTCCAGGATACCAATCCTTTCATTAGTCACACTTTCAAATAGTTGGATAAATCTTTTGTTGGTCAATTCTATTTGGAACCCATCTGACATGCACCACATTCCAAATTCTAATTTTTAGGGTTCACAAACCCCAAGTAAAGCAGTACTATCTCCCCAATCTGACAAAATGAGTAAATCGGATATATTTTGAAGTGTCTCAGAGGGGTCAGGGCTTTATCTCACTCATCATTGAAGTCAAAGGGCCCAAACTTCTGGCGGAATTCCTGGGCTAATCTAGTCTCTTCCTCTTTGTCAATGGAGCAAGCCTTCCAGTTAGCCCTCTCTGGCATGTTAAGCAGTTCCTCACAAGCCATGATTTCCCTGTAGATACAAGGGGAGACACAGTCAATTCTGAAAACCTTTGCCTGTGTAATCACTAATCTCTTGATGGAATCAATAAACAAGAACTCACAAATCAAGTCACTTCTCAAACAGAAACCAACCCAAACCAACACACCAGTTCACCACAGGGTTTAGGACCCATCTTGGCACACCCAATATTGTTATACCACAGTCATAGATATGTTGGTAAATATTTATCAGTTGTGAATTGATCATGTGATATGTTACAAGCGTGCATGTATCATGCATGCGTCAAGTGCACTGTTGCCAGGCAGCAAGAAACGATGGATAATGGTGATCTTTCCCACAGTTGACGTGTCATGTCTACTGTGTTGTAACTGTTTAATCTTAGGTACAAGGGTGGATAGGCGCGGTGGTACTACACACCAATTATTGTGGATGTACACTGTGTGGGGGACATTGAAACACTGTGTCCATTCACAAGTACTGCTCTCTCCACTCTGACCATGATGGAGACCTGTGGGTTATTAAACCTTTGTTTGTGCACCCAGCTATGCTCGTGGAACACAAGTATGCTCTGATCACTGTTTCTGCTGTGATCGCCATTGCTGTTTATATAAAACTCTCGTGCAGTTGTCTATTCTAGTCTGTTCTTCAAACTTGTCAATCTTGAAATTCAACCAGTCAACAAAACCACAGTGCTTTATGAATCCCAGGTTTCTCAAGTAAACCAGTCTGTTTTATATCCTAGATTCCCCCCCCCAAAAAAAAGGTCAACAGAAGACATCACAATAAATTATTTTCCTGGTAATTTGATATCTAATTTGCTGTTTTAAGTTTTTCAATTTGTCAAAATGTTTTAATTTATCTTGCGATAAAATCTGCACATATTACACAGAAGACCACTCCAATGTAATCTATGACCGTGGTATAACAAAACAATTGTTCCCTGCAGTATTGGGTCCATGGAATTTGTACACCCTCAGGAGCAAATGGCACCCACGGCTTTGCCTCGAGTGCCATTTGCCCCCAAGGATGTACAAAACACCATGGACCCCTACACCACAGGCAACAATTATGAAATGGTCACTAGTGGGCTTTCAGTCACAGAGCACACACGGTTTCTTCATCATTTGAAGTAGTATGCAGGATTCTGTGAAAATGTTCTCATTGGCTATCCTATCATTTATGAGTAGAGTGTCTGTTTTCTTGAAATGAGCCCTCTGGCTGCAGACGGTTCAGCTGTCAATGTTTGCTCAGTAAAACTGCCTCTGAATTTAGCAACAGTAGAAAAAATTGTTCAAATTTTGAATAAAATTTGAATATTTACCTCCCCAACTGAAGCGGGAAGAATTCATTCTTTTTGATCTGATGCAGTAACTTAACTCCACCGTCCAATTCAACATAGAAATATGGATTACCTACTGACATAACCTGCAATAAATGAGACAGAGGACATGTTGAATTAGTTCTTTTGCATTTGTCTGTATTCCATTTCTTGGTGAGTTTCCAAACAAATTATACCTATTGAAGGATCTGTCCCCTATTATTTGAAGCCTTGAAGGTGAGGCTGACAATCAGCTACAAGTAATGTAAATTACACAAATAGTAATCCATCTTTATGGAGCAACAATTTTGTGCATTTAGCAAACTGCAGCACTAGCAATATCACGAAATGAACCACAGATGATGACAGTAGTAAGCATAGCATATTACTAAAGAACATGCTTAGCTATCAAAGTTTTTTAAAATAAGAGACGAACAGAAAGCCTGATTTTATGCTAGCATACAGACTTCTGAGGTGAAATATGCTTAAGCTTTGCAAAGCTTGTCTCCGGGTTCAATGTGGAGAACCACCTTGAAACTGATTCCTCTTAGGTGACTGTGGAAGCCGCTGGTAAACCACAGAAGCCATTGGCCTATAGCAGAAGTTACTGGCTTACGGCAGAAGCCACTAGCCCATAGCAGAAGCCACTGGCTTACGGCAGAAGCCACTGGCCTATAGCAGAAGACACTGGCTTACGGCAGAAGACACTGGCTTACGGTAGAAGCCACTGGCTTATGGTAGAAGCCACTGGCCTATAGCAGAAGACACTGGCCTATAGCAGAAGCCACTGGCCTATAGCAGAAGCCACTGGCTTACAGCAGAAGACACTGGCTTATGGTAGAAGCCACTGGCCTATAGCAGAAGCCACTTGCTAATGGCAGAAGCCACTGGCTAACCACAGAAGCCACTGGTCAATGGCAGAAGCCACTCTCCATAGATGAACGAGTTGCTCCTAGCCACAACCAGCCACTTTGGACTCAGTTTCAGCCTACCTGCTTCAGATCCGTGTGCTTAGGAATCTCAAACAGGTCCAACTTCTGACTTTCAGCTTTGGAGGTAAAAACATCCTTGATATCATCACAAAGAGCTCTGCCAATCGGTACCACCTTATACAAAGGACAAGAAAAAGTTATTACGAGGATTATACAAGAACTGTTGATGATCTGTTGTAGTTTACTTGAGGAGCCAGTGAAGGAGGAATTATGGGCAGGGGCTTCACATGTAAGGGGTATGGACACTGTACATCTAAGTAGGCAGAGAGCATCCCCAATAGGTGCAGAGCTGGTTAGTGTTTACACGTAAGGGTTGTGGACAATGTAGGTAGGCAGACAGTGTCCCCAATGGCGCAGGGCTGGTTAGTGTTTCCATGTAAGGGTTGTGGACACTGTAATTAGGCAAACTGTGTCCCCCAAAGGGGCATATACAAACTCTCCTCTTGACCATCAAGACCATCAAGTGCATTGTAGTCCCAATATCCATTGTAGATACATCACATCATGTGAGGCCAGAGTTGGGAATACACGTATTGTATATAATTGGAAACAGGCTGTTGATGCCAAGTTGATGACCAAGGTACTATTGTGAATCAGCTAAGCAAAGGAAATCATACCAGGTGGCCTGGTGAAGATTTGCACAGTTTGGAAAATTTGGACCTGGTACCGGTATAGTCTGGGCACTTTTAAGTGTCCCAATGTTGGTCGTTTCCTTGGTTTCTTTAATAAATATCACACACTTCATGCGTGGATATTGTATATCACAGTATGTCACAGCTCCATATTGAAGGTTTCCTTTTCATTTATTACTTGTAGTTGAAGATGCTGCGTTTTGAAATTCCTCTCAAAGATGACGCATGTCTTCCCCCTTGACCTGAAATACCTACGGAGGGTGCTCTTGTACTGCTCAAGTTCTTGAATAACATCCTATGAGAAAGACAGACATGTCCCATCATTTGTTTATTTTTCCAATGAATGTGCTGAAAGAAATGAAAGAGTAGAATTGAACTTGAACAATTCTTGAATGCACATAACATCCTAATTCACATCAGATATTTCTGAAAACAACAGGCTAAGACTATGTCTGAATTACGTTGCTACGGCTGGAGACCGGCACACTGACAAGGGAAGTCAATGATTAACAGCTCAGGCCATGTCCCATTGATTTGATTATAACTCTCAAATAATTACAAAGCCCTAATTAGCACTCACCTCAGGCAAATCAACAATAGACTGGTAGTGACCAATAGGAAGTATGAGAACATGGTCTGGCACTAGACCACCCTTTGCCAAAGCCATGTATGTCTGCAACATGAAAGTGACGTGTTTCACATAACTGAAAGAATTTATGGAACACACCTGTTATTGTAAATATATACCTTATTGTTATTGTATACCTCTTTCCTGATTATTGGTAGAAATGCATTTCTGAATAAATTGGAGAGTCCTTAATGATTCATGTGAGACTTGGGATACTCTATGATTTGGTGTCTGTTCTTCAGCACTATCTTTGACCCCTCTCCTCATTACCCTCAGACATCAAAATAAAAGAGTTATCCAACACCACCAGACAGTTATTTACCGTTGTTCCAACGCTGACTACAAGGTGTTTTTCAACCTCTGGGCTGCCGAGACAGAACCAGCAGGGACCTGTGGGTTCTGTAGAAAATATCAGACACTTATTAATTCTCACTTGAACTGAATTGGGTATTGCATGAACCTCACTGTATCAAATTAATTGTACATCTTGTTTAGGCTTTGTTTATACATATTCATTGTCACAGGGCTAATAGTTACATATTCATCGTCACAGGGCTAATAGTTAAAAAGAAAAATGTGACCGGTCACCACAAAATGAGCTGAAAGTCGGAATTTTCAAAAATTGAGATATTGGTATTTTTTAATTCAGCAGAAAGAGAGCTTTCCAATGGTACGTACATGGAACACTTAGGTAAAGGTATAAGGTGACCATGTGGCATTATTTTGGCAGCTTAGCATCTCTGTTCCTGGCATTGTTTCAACATTTCAGACCAGGCACGAATGATGCTATTGTCAAAATTGCTGAGAATATAACATTTTTACTATATGATCCTGCAAAATATTTGGCATTAAATAGGAGACAGGATATTCTTTCCAAATATTTTAAAACCCCAAAATTGACCTCCACTTCAATATGATTTTGAACCCTCAAAATAGCAAAGAGCGGAATGCGAGTTTACTCTCATTTTGTTGTGACGGGTCACAATTGGTCTTTGATCTTTGGCAGAGTTTCAGATACTGATCACTAAGTTAACATGAAAATATCGAGATGATCAAGCACTATGTGTGAATGGGCTCATGGTGGCTGGGCTCCAGCTGTCTACATCAGGCAAAGTCCTCCAACATACTTCTGATAGGCTTAGATAGATGACAGGGGATACGATTTGATGAACCTATTGGACTGGCTTTTTTAATGTGTGTGTGAAATTTACTTATTTTTTATTTCTTATTTCTTAACATTTTGTGTATTTTAACATACTTAAACTGGTTCTTACTCAGAAATTTCATATTTGGCTTTTTCTAGATCATTGCACTAACTGTTGTTTTATTGTAATTGCTGAGCACCTCTTGAAAACAGTGTTTCACAGAGAGAGATCCCCAGGGTAGATAAGAAATAAGTAAAATAAATAAATAAATAAATAAAACAGCAATAAAGCATTTTGTTTTAATTTAAAGAGCTGTTTACAAAAGAAATAAGGCAAATGCAGTACGTCCCTTAAGCTCTGCTGGTAAGGCAAAAAGCACTTCACTTGAAAACAACATTCTACTTGTTCAATTTTTCCTTACGTGGCCTCTTTTTCCTGTCTGGTCCACTATGGTGCTGACCCCTTGACCTCTTTTGACCTCTGCCTCTTCCCCCAGAACTCTGGCTGAAAAAGTACTGGTTGGACATGTCTACCTGAGAAAAGCAGGACAAACATTATCCAAGCTTAAGTGGTAAAACTTGCAGAGAGGGAAAAAAGGCTGGGATAAAGATAGTGTTGACATAAGTTGTTACACTAATTGGCTGTGGCACAGAACTGGTTATTGACTGTGACCCAGTAAGTTGACTATGAAACTGTACAGAATTTATTTGAACAAGAATAGAAAAATGCTTTGTACACAATGCAACTTTGGATTAAACATATTCAATCCTTTAAAAGAGTTTTTCTTCATGTAATATTGACATAAATGCATTACTCAGTATGACATCTTGATGGTTGCGGACATAATGTGGTCAATAACATTGGTAGTTGCCACTGACTGCCATAGTTTAAAATTTTGTTCAAGGGCCTAGGACTCAAAAATAAGTGGTGCCTTCCAACTTATTTTGCCGTAAACAAGGACATTTCTGAAAAGCTGGCTCAACAGCCCATCCTGTATTATTGTCTGTGTCATTATTTGTAATGTGAGTGGCTTCAATTCTACCAAATCCCAACTGCTCATAGCACTTGTAGCAGGATTGCTGCATTACCTCAGGTCTCTGCTCTGGTCTGGTTCCAGACCAATTGTAAGGACACTCTGTAACATCCTGCGGCTGCTTGACCAACTCCTCCCTCTCCATGGATTTCATGGGGATGATGTTGAAGGCATACAAGTACTGGGCACAGAATAATGATTAACAAACAATCTGTTGAAAAGCTGTGCAATGAACTGTTGTTCTCAGTGAGAAATCTCTCTTTAAGGAAAAAGCCATTAGCTCTCTAAAAACTGAGACGCAAGAATTTTGCTAGAAAATTCCTAAATTCCTCAAAATCTTACACTCTGAAATGACTACTATCACATTCTTTGCACTTGAACCTAAAAAGAAATCAAGTCATACAATGATTTGGCTGTAAAGTGTAAATGAATGTAAAATCCGTCATGTGCCAGTGTGGCCCATCACTCAGGCCAGCGTTTATCGCTGGATTTCAGTAGCATCCAATATTTCA